GATGGAAATGCCTGCTGCTCGGTCACCCTCAGCAATATGTCGACTCAGCTTCTTGGAAAGATTTCCCAGTACGAGTTTAGAACAGGTTACTGGTACTGCTTCTTTGACAATGATGTTTTTTCTTCTGACTTTCTTCAGAAGGGAGCGTCTGAAATGCAATGAATGAACGACTAAGGCGAGCCATTAACTCCACATAGACTACTACTTTTAGAAAAAAAGAAGAAAAAAAAACCAAATCGCTGCTCAGAATAAGATAAGCGTCTAGCGACGCATGACATCTTCTTGATCTATTACTAAATTTATAGATATCAATTTTAACTCGTTGTGTTGCAGATTATAAGTGAAATACCATCTCCTCTATACGTCGTGGTTCAATGGACAACTGCAATTCTACTAATTTCGCCAATATGCACATCATTCCATTCATATTACAATTCGCCCAACACTCTCGATATTGTGAATCCTCCAGAATTGCTTGCGGTAAGAAATTGTTCAGAGAAAATGAAAATTCATGAGATGTGAAGCGATTTTTCAAGTAGGTTCGCATAAATTCGACTACAAAAGGGTTTGAATCGTTATTTCGAAGCTTGCGGTTGGTTTGGGTTTGGTTTTTTTTTTTGATTTGAGGAACAGCAGCGCTGACTCAAAATAGCACATCGGTGGCAAAGAAAACAGGAAGGAAGGCAAGAATGCTCATGCTTATGACAATGAAAAGGGTGCTTGAATGAAAGTTCAGTCGAATTTGTCGAGTTGGACAGCAATTGCACAAAGAGCTTGCTACAGTATGTCGGCTGCCAAGAATTCCTCCCTTCCACTTTCGCCATAGAGCATGAGTTGTTATATTTATGGTACTCGTCGCTAGCATGCATACAGCCACCACACGCTACAGACGATCAGCTATTCTATAATAATTCCCAACTTATGTGTCCCATAGTAGCTGCTGCAGATTCCAGGTGGCACTTGAATCTCGTCCGCTTCCGGGTGTGGTCAGCAGCACTATCGGTCCCTAAACATTTACATATCGCCCTTTCAAGTCCATTTTTTTTGCCACACAACGCTGCACAGCAGGGAAAAATCTGGGAAATTCCATTCACCTCAGAAGAACAGTATGGCTCCTATCACGTTGAATAGCCGGAAAAAAAGCGGATGGGGACCATCCAAAACTGTTAATAGATAATTTACACAGCAGGTATCGTTTCAGCTCGCAAGTGTGATGATGTTTGTTGCTGTTGTTGTATTCTTCAGTATTTCCATGATTTGCTATGCTCAGGTGTTCTTTCATATCCTGCACTACAATTACTTTACTAACAGGTGCTGAGTCCTACCTAAACTGTTTGTCAAATTTCTATCGTCTTGAATAGATTCCAACATTGTTCTAAATTGCAAAAATTTTCTCACTTCAGTGTAAACAGACAAGAGCTCCGACTTTGCATACAAGCTACAGGTCTTCTGGTTGCTTTTGTTTTGCTTTTCTTCTACCATGTTGGACAATTTGTCATCAATCATATTAATGACGTAAGATTTCTGAATCCGATTTCGCTATTTCTTTACAGCAGAAGGGGTCCCCAGGAAAGAAACAATGTCACCATCTTTTCAGCTACCACTACTCTTCACTTGGAGACTGTTTCATCCACTTGTAACTGGTTTCGTATCGTGGGTACAACCATGGATGTGCCTCGCATTCAACTCTGATGTCCGAGAACATGTTCAAAAAATATTGTTTTGCCGTCGAGAGCAGCTACCGACACGTACCGGGGTATGTGAGAAGATATTTTCAGAAGATTAATCAAATTTCCTCCAAAATATTATTCCTGCTGTGTGTACACCCTTCAGATCAGCAGATCGCCTTCCCAGTTACTACAACTACTACACCCTTTGAGAAGTTCTGTCCGAATATTTCAGAGTGGTGTGACCTTTTATGGGAACAAATTTTTTGCTGAGACCATGCATAGGTCTCCTCCTGGCAGTATTCATGCTACGGTGCAACCAATTTCTTGAGAAATCGGTGACGATTGTTCCAGCAAATGTTCAAAATGATCGTAAAATTGAATTGTAAGTGGATCTTCAAGCATCACTGCGCGTATATTTGAGGACCTAGCGAAAATCGGCCATGTAAGATCTGCAAGTAGTCACTGATGCATCTTACAGCTCTGACCTCTAATAGTAAGGCTCCGAGGTGTTCCACCACTTGGTGATACTGTTCGTTCCTGGAAGAACCACCAGCAGCACTTAAGCCCTCAAAGTAGCGGTAGACGAGTCCAATACAGTAGGTCGATTTCTCGAAAAGCTGGCATTGATATTTTCTGGACGACAGGTTGGTGAAGACTAATATAAAACCTACTTGGAGGCTTGCATTTTGAGCCTTTTCTCATTTAATGAATTTGACTTCCATTTTTTAAAATACGCCTTACAATTATTAAGTTCTCGTTGTTTTAGGGTTCTGTTGTGTCAGCAGCAGTGCCTCCATCACGATTTGTATTACCTGCGATTGACGAAAAAAAGCTTTCGAGGGGTACAAAGTGATAGTATTTTGTGTGTAATGTTCAGTTTCAAATATGTTTATGAATAAATCTCACAAACAAATCTGTGATGAGTCATGTTNAGGGTTCTGTTGTGTCAGCAGCAATGCCTCCATCACGGTTTGTATTACCTGCAATTGACGAAAAAAAGCTTTCGAGTGGTGCAAAGTGATAGTATTTTGTGTGTAATGTGCAGTTTCAAATATGTTTATGAATAAATCTCACAAACAAATCTGTGATGAGTCATGTTTGACTACAGTGATTGAGTTCGTGGCTATGGAACACAGTCTGAGCTGCTCTGAGAGATTGAGCACATTCTGAGCTGATGCAGCGGTTGTTATTAATATATTATAATATTGTATGAAGTTGTAATGTAAACCACACTGATGTATCTAAAAAAATGATGCGCCCGAGCATTCGACTCCCGTTCAGAAACGTAGTGGTGTATTGAGTACGTATATGGCCTATACATGGTTTGCGATGGCAACCGATGTACAAGTCAGTGTTTTTATCCTCCCAGACACAGGTGTCTAGTTCCGATTATTCGACCCCATAGGAATATAGGGCTTTGTTGGCCTAGGCATATATAGATCCGGGATCAGTAATCAATGAAGAAGGCTAAACTAAGGCTTGTATTATCAAGATATTCATCTCCCGTCTGTGAGAAACTTGATTGAAGATTCTGCTAGGTAGATAAATATCTCGAACCGTCTACACAACACCATATTTAGTTGAGTTTCTGATTCTCCTAGCCAGTCTTAGAGCAATAAAATCAAAGAACGTAGAAAAAACTGACAACCAAAATCCAAGATAAAGTTACTTTGTTGGTTTACTTATGTGCACATGAGTCTTGTAGCTTCTGTCAGTAAAAGGCAGGTGTTGTGAACGAAACTAATGTCAAAGCTGTGGTAGGTATCTGAAGGCAGTTGTGAGGCATGGCGCATTCTGGAGATCAATGATCAACGTCATGTTGTTCGGTTTTCATTGTTTTCGAGAGACCATGCGGGTCTCAATGAAACTTGTTGAAGTAACCTTCATGCGGTGCCTATTGATACCTACGTCACTCATTATGTGGCGCGACAATTGGCATAAAACTCAGAATATGCCGAGTAACCAAGGTCAGTTCATTCTTCAACGACAAAAGCGTGAACTGATCGCTACTGCCGATTGTATCGACGAATGGCACCTATATAAAGGAGAGTGGTCAGGCTGATACAGGAGTTGACTTCACTGTGAAACAGGCTCACAGGCCTTTTTCTAGTTCATCTTCACTTACAAATCTTTCGTGTTTCTATAAAGACTTGTAAAAATGTAAAACTAGTACTAGACTAGTAAAAATAGAAAGTTTCGAGAATATACCACCAATCGAGATTTTTTTGCATTGTTTAGCAAAATCATTTGGCAATTGGAAATGAAAATTTATTGTTTCTCCATCGGAGTAGAAATTTTGTTCATTACAGAGAACATGAGCCTTCGTACTTCCCATACTACGCTACTCTTCTTTATACTGAGAGACTCCCTTAATAATGCGGAAAAATTGTTTTTCAAATCATTTAATCTGTGTTTTCACTGAAATAGAAAGTCCCGTCCATGTCCTCGCCTGAAACTAAATTCCTTTGAATGGTGCTTCTTTCATGAAGTGTCCTGAGCAACTATACTTTTTTCAAACGTATTTGTTTCAGACAATGCGCAACCTGCTCGGCTTACTTTTAGTGGTAGTCTCTGTGGCAACGGTTCTTGGACAATTTTACGGTAAGCATAACAATACCGTAACTTTCGTTATTTATTATACAATGATTAATTAATTTAAGGTGGTCGGGGACCATATGGTGGCGGTCCATATGGTGGCGGGTTTGGCCGAGGTCCTTATGGAGGTGGATTCGGTCGCAGCCCCTACGGCTATGGTGGTAATCCATATGGCGGTGGTTTTGGACGAGTAAATCCACTGCAAGGAGCAATGATGGGAGCTATGATGGGTGCGATGAGAGGATAGATTCGATGACATCTCAAGTGTACATTATTCCGATATAATAATAAAAATTAAAGATAAAGTTTCTATCAACAATCAATCCCGTTTACGGGAGACTCTCAACATCTGACTCCCATTCAAAATCATAGGGATGTTCTGGATCTGTTATGTTCCCTTTACATTGTCTTCACATTGTAGCCAGCCAATGTACGAGCCAGTGCTTTTCTCCTCACAAACGAGTCTGGTATTAGTTAGCCATCCCGGAGGGATGAGAGGCCTGGTGGGTTCAGTCGAGCTTCGAGCTGGGATTCGAACCCGTGACTATGCACGTGTGCTAGTGCACCCCTAGACCACCTACCCTTCGACATAACTAAAACAATTTCATAGTTAAGAAAGTAAGATTAAGATTTCTTAAACAGCCTCTAATTGGAGGACAGCAAAAAATCAAAGCCTACGTTCATGCCAGATATGTAAGTACGATTCACAAATGAAGCAGCACCCATCCCTGAGAAAAAGGTGGGAATTAACTATTACAGCAAAACTGCATCAGACAAGTAGAAGCCTCTGTTAATTTATTCCTCTTATAGATCCTCCACACTCTCAACTACATTTCAGTGCCACAGATTCAATGCACACTTGGCTGAACATTCATTATTTTCTAATTACTGGGCAAATAGCTCATAGCTCACGTCAAAAGGAAAAGTTCTCTGCTGGAGGGACAACCTGGTCTGTGAATCAATTCAGGTTATTGTTCTGTATTTTAGAAATTTTATCGAATGGCTCTTTGGAAAATGCTCACTCAGAGTTAGTGGTCGAATAATCTGAAAACGTTTAACTCTATCAAGCGGCTAGCGCTATATTTGTAAAACCGTTTACGAAGCTGATAACATACTTTGCGTCTAGCTTAGTAGGTCCATTCTATATGACCTCTATTTCACAGCAGATAACTGCTCTGTTAAGCTTCAGGCGAAAGAGGGGCATCTGAAAATGCCAAAAATCCATTCCTGAACTTAGGCTTCATGAGCAATCATGTGAATATTCATGTGCACTTCCAAGCCGTGCATTTATAACTTGTCCACATTCTTCGCACAAATGGGTATTGCTTTGAAGGTGTATGTGGTAACTTATTCCCAAGGATCGCGTCGCGTTCGCCGCATATGCGCAGTCTTGTATTATAAAGGAAAAGGTTCCGATTTCTAACAGACGATCGCGGTAGTCGCCGATGAACTGCTGTGAGAATTCTGGGATAAGTACGGTTACCTTTGCTTTTAGAACATAGAGCACGTACAAGAATTTAGTGAGTTTCGATGGCAAACGATGGCTCTTTCTCAAGTTGTCATCACTTACGAGTTTGCTTGCGACATGTAACGTCGACTCTTTGAAAACGAAGCTCTCTTCAATTAAAGGTTCTATGCTGAAAAAGACTTTTCTAAGCACTTGATTCATTGCTGAAAAAGAAGAGTTTATTTCAAAAGTTTTATTAGATAGACAACGGGATAGACGCGTTGAGTTTATAAGTTCATATCAAGTACAATACATACATTTACAAATAAAGAAATCATTGCTTGAAATTTTCTGACTATAGTCGTCCTATTGGTGCGAGTGACAACAGACATAATTGTAGTATTCTCTACTTTTTTACGTCGAAAAGAATTGACGATTTCATGGCGAAGATCTGAAGAGAGCAGCAACAGAGAAAACGGTGATGCACTCAGCATAAGGTCGTTTATCCAGTAGTACTAAAGTATTTGAAGCTTTAAAAATATTTCTATGGAACATCTTCATCACTTGTTAGTGCCATAGGTATTATCATAAGGAAGCTACTTTTGCGCCCGTTCCAAAGGATATAGGATGAAGTTTCTGAGCGTTGGTCAATACCGTCTGAGGGATGCTCACCGCACTACTGCCATTCAGAATCGTAGTTACGTATTGGATACGTATGTGACCTACCCAGTGAGTTGCGGTGCCCAGCCATTGTACAAGCCAGTGCTTTTATCCTCCCAGACAAGTCTGTAGCGTGTGGGAAGTGGTAAGCTAGGCACTGGACGTCCCTTTCTCCATAAACATTACGAATTGGCTTGAGCGGTTCTATTGATGAATTAGAAGAAGGCAGACATCTCTATCTGTCGAGGCCAGTTAAATCCAATCCGGCACTGGTAGCGCAATAAACTGTCGTCAATTCAAATCCTGGGCGGAGGAACCGGCCGCGGGGTAGCCTGAGCGGATATCGACCTGAGATTCGAACCCGTGACCATACGTGTGTGATAGAGCGCCACATGTCTCTACATTACCTTCGCTCTGAGCCCATTTTAACCTATCAGCACATGTCTTAGCCAGTTCACTATTGACACATTGTGCTACATTAGTAGCCATATAGGATAAGCACATTTCTTTCTACCGGGCGCATCTAAAACGGAATAACGATTCTCATACGTAGGCCCTTCTTTTCGTAGGTTCGGCATGGCAACATCATTGCGCTTTGCAAGAAACCCAGTTGTTAGGCTTCATTTTTAAGAAGGATGAGTCTGCTGTGGTCTCAGACGATTGAGTAAGAAATAGTTCAGTAAACAGCTCAGATGTTTTTTTACATATTCCTCAAGGCACCACTGAATCATTTTGAAAATCTACTTCCTACAGTGAAGCCTCTCTACATTCATACAGCAAAGCTGTCTGACAAAAAGTTAAGCAACAAGTGGACCTTATACACAGCACGATTTTTTAGTGGTTGATACAACGATCAACAGGAGCTTAAGACGTCAGATCGCCCGGTGAACGGAATCATTCATAACAAGTTCTGCACGGAAAGGATGATTCGCTCTGGGTCTCATCTCCCACACTGAGACATTACTAGATTCAAGTAATTGGCACTGAATGAGAAGGTAGTTCCGCACTTTTCCAAAGGAGTGTGGGAGGAGTACATGACTGGGCCCGCATTCAAAAGTTGTAGCGTCACATCAACAGCGTACAGAAGAGTGCCACTGTTGCGTGTGGGAAGTGGTAAGCTAGGCTTTGGACGTGGCCAAACTTCCTTTTATAGTTTCTCTTTCTCCATAAACATTACGAATTGGCTTGAGGAGTTCTATTGATGGAGTAGATGAAGACAGACATCTCTATCTGTCGAGGCCAGTTCAATCCAATCCGGCATTGGAAGCGCAATAAACTGTCGTCAATTCAAATCCTGGGCTATGCCAGAGTGGCACGTTAATGCTATATGTAAGACTGTTATTTGTTGAGCTACGTCAGTGTCTATGAGGCAGAATTTCTTACTTTTTCATCCTTATTCTGTACTATTTGCAATTCACGAAAAGCAAAACCAACCTGCATTATCAACCATATATTAAACGCATTTATGTCAAAAAATGTAGCGACTGCTTTGGAAAGTTGTACTATGCACATCAACAGCGTACACAAAAATACCACCGTTGTGTGCATTAGTAGACGCTGAATTTGATGGAGTAAACAACAAGACTAAGGCTAACTTACGGCTTCCCGAATTCGGTGGGAAGCTGTAGGAATAATAGCCAGCGGTGATGCTAACGATAGGGCTTTTACCTTGTCATGATGCCGACGTTTTGAGGAAGTGTCCATTTTTGATATCCGTTTCCATTCGACAAATAGTTTTGCATCCAAAATTATGCTTAGTATGACGTAAATCGTACAAGCACCTCCTAAGGTCAATCTGACAATCTGAAAAGCTAATCTCTGTCATTGTTGCGAACAGATTGTTAACTCCACTCTAGATTCTTGATTTCCAGGAAATCTGAAATCTAGGCGAAGTCTCCGTTGAAGCAATATCGTGTAGCATGGTGGATCATGCGAAATTTTTCACGCTAAGTATGACCGCAGATAAGCGGCTAAGAACATGTGATGCTCGAACAATGTAGCGTGTGTAGCCTAGCTGGTAAGACTGAAACTCACCATCTCAATATGTACTTCGTAGCTTTTTAGGTTGACCGTTCCATCCTTATTATGAACATATATCAATTTCGCTACGATGATATGAGCGAAAAGTGCAAAGGACACAGCGAACTGTACAATGACGGCTATAAATACGTTCTTCCTAGTCCATATCTGTAAGGATGTACTCAGCGTAGCGTATTTACTTTGCTTTCAACCTTAGAAGAGAGACTTCTACTGTCTTCAAATTTGTGACAATACAGCCTTTACAGGTTTACATACCCTACACCTACCCCGTTCGTCGCATTCCCTTTCAATGTTTCCTAAAAAGTTTTACTTTTATCGGTCACTTGGAGTTAGGTCGCTGTTGTAAGGGTGGCGGTGCTTTTCCTCAAATTCCCGTGCTCTATGAAAGGAAAGATTCCGCTTCCCAGAGGAAGATTACGGTATGTAGTAGCCGCGGTACAGCGAGTGCGACGCGATTTCCGGGGAGTAGTACCCACACCTGTAACTCTATATCTTCACATATACTTCAGAAACGCTTTGGAACACTATACTTTGGAATTGATCTTTGCTTCTCATTCATACGCTTATCTTAGCACAAACTCATTGACTTCGATTTCCAAAAAGCTTTTGGCTCGTTTTTACGTTGTACATCTGCTGGAATATCCAGTAGATGCACAACGTGGTTGTCCTGAGAACAATCCTAAACAGAACACGACTCACCAAATCATATCTGTGTAGGTGGCGAAGAGCCGAATATCGATTGATCGTGATGAGCATATTACCAATCAAGTGTGAAATAAGTGCTGCATGTGTAGTTAGTAAAAAGTACCGAGTGATGTTCTGAAAATCTTCTCCCAAGCTGAGCTCTTGGTTCAGTCGAAGATAGCAACCTGCCAAGAGAGATGCTACATCAGTGATGCCTGAAAAAAGGTGTGTTGACTTTGGCTACATTTTACTTCAAAGACTTTAGTAAAAGTAAGTAATGTCTGAATTCCAATTCGGAGACCATTTACTTTTATTGTCCATAAATAAGCCTTACACCAGGGAAGCAAAGAAGGCATAACAACCTCTCGTCGTCCAGTATTAAGAAAAGTAGCTGGAACACCTACCTGATGCTACGA